GCCCCACCAGACGGAGCCCCGTGGCCTGCACCGAGCTGCCTCGCCTGCCTTCACCAGTGTTTGGTAGTTCTGACAGGAAAAGTTAGTGCTTTGTGAAAGTCATGCACAAAAGAAGGACCAGTTCCTTTAAGGCAACAATGTTTATAAACCCAAACGCCAAGATAATTAGGGGTAGTCTTGTATTTTTCAGTCCCGCTGAGAGGAAAACGCACCGGGGAGATGGTAAGTGACTTTCCCAAGGCCAAACAGCGTGGTAAGCTGAGTTGCGATGGCTTTTTGCTAAGGGTTTGTGTTTATTTGAGAAACCTCAACAGCATGGTCTATTTCCATATCATGAGGAGGGCTGAGTCTGCAGATTATGGGACAGCAAAGGTTGCAAACCCATCAGCACGTGCTCTGGAAGCTTCTCCCCATCCCAAGGTAGCAGCCGAAAACATCCCGTGGGGATGGAGGAGTACAATAAAGTACAAAAGATTCTGGAGCACTTCCAAAGCAAATACACTGTACAGATTCATTAATTACACCCCATTTTCACCCAACTTTTCTCCTCTGCCATTATCCCTCTCCATCCACCGCTTCCCCGGTGACCTGCTGACGAGGCACCCAGCATGGTGGAGCAGAGAAAGCAGGGAGCTGGTGCTCCTGCCCCCTTCCCTCCCTGCCTGCAATATCCTGACTCCAGGAAGGCCACAGGTCTCTAATAAAATAGGAATCCATGAAAAAACAAGAGCAGCACCTCCCCAGCTGGCTTCCTGGCTGCCTCCAGCTGCTCCTCCGCACCAGAGGCCAGGCATCCCTGAGCTCAGCACTGCCCCGTTGACAGTGAAGTCACCGCTTTACGTTCCAGCCTTGTCTTGCTGTAATACGATTTTTCTAGCCAGGTCTTGCTGTAGTATGATTTCTAGCCAGGTGCTGGTTTCTTTAGCATGGTCAGTGACTTTAGAAGACTTTAAAAGTGTTTCTTGCAGAGGTTTCTGCAGCTGTCACCACAGGCTGTGAGGCATGAAAAGAAAAAGCTCCTGCATTTGCTCTGCCACGTTTCTGCTGCGGATAACTAGGTGGGCATTTAGGCACAAACTCTTTTGGCAATTTCGATTCAACAGCTCTAACCCTGCAATGGCCTCCATGCTTTGCACCCCTTCAGGGAAGTTCATGGGTGAACTGGGACCAGCTAATTTCCCTCCTTGCTAAAACGAGAGGTGACCCTAGAGAGAGGCAGTTTGCTGCTGACATCCCATCACTGTGGCAGCCATAGGGTTTCTAGCGAGCATACCAGTGTGAGATGCTACACACTCAGACATTCTCCACAACACTCCCTCCAAACAATCCTTTAAGTCACTGGTCTCACCAGTAAAGGTTTCTCGCCCTGGTACTTATTGTTCTGGGCCATTCTTGCCATTTGAGGTCTTCAGAGACACTTGTCTGACAATTACTTTTAGGTTGCTTTTCAACAGCTTTGCAGAAACCATTTACTAAAAATCATCTGAGTGCTTTTGATTGTATTTTCTTTCCAAAGGCAGGAAGACACAAACAGAATCTCCTCCTGGAGTCCACCCTGTGCGGGTCTAAACTTCCTTCCCATCCCCACAGCCATGCGTGATGAGACCAGAGCAGCTGGAAAACAGCTTGCTCTCTTCACTGTCCATTATGTCTGACAAGCCTGTGATAAAACTTGAAATTAGCCCCCTTGATCTGACACCTCCCCTTCTCTCCTCCCCTGCCTGGTTTTCCTGCCTGCAGCAATAAATTCAAGCACAGATTCATCCTACTCCCTCAGGCAGCTTCATGCTCCTCGGCACAGATGAGGATGGATAAGAGGTCTCGGAGCAATTCCAGGGAGTCTCACAAGAGACGCAGAGAGTCCTCAGCTACACAGAGCAAACGAGAGAAGAGGGAGAGCAGCAGAGAAGCTGGCAAAGGAAGGGGAGAAGTAAAGCAGGAGAAAGCAAAGGAGATCAAGAGCACCGCAGGGACTGACGGTAGGGTACACACATCCACGGTGGTGGATGTGGACGATGTGATATCTGATGAAGAAATGGAGGCAATGGCGTTGCTGGACAGCGAGCAGCAAGAGGAAGGTATGGCTTACGGAAGGGAAGGGATCAGAAAGCTACGGGCTCTTTGACCCTGTGTGGTCACAGTATGACTCTGCTCTCTGCACGGTGAGTGTCATCACACCCACCTTGCACAGACACGTAGTTATCCTTGGGACAGGATATGGGAGACTCCAGCCAGCCTCCCAGCCAGCTTCTGCAGTCAGTCCAGGCTGGTCAGCACTGTCTAGCACAGCAATGAACTTTGCAACAAGCAGTTACATCCCTAGCATCCTTTGTGCTTCAGCTCCCCAGTTCTGTTCATGTTCTACTCGCTTCCTGTTCTTGCTTGCCCTTCTTTAGGTGGACGGAGTTAGCCTCAGTGCCAGTTCACAGCCCAAAGAACTGCACTGTGGGGAAGAAATGTGCTTGAGGTGCACGCTTGTAGCTCCCCTTCCAGACAACCTTTGAGAGGAGCTCCTCTCCAGGACGTGTGTTAGGCAGATTCTCAGCCTGCCATGATAGGAGGGTGCATTGTGAGTCTTCTTGAGGGATGGCTGGGCCTCTTTGGACCCAGCATCACCGCAGGCATGGCAGATGTGTATTACAGGAGCCAGCATCACTTGTCCGCTTCCCTACCAGCGACTCTGCTGTCCTAGAGTGACACGAAGGTTCAGACTTGCTCCTGTCTCTCCGGGAACTAATTTTTCTCAACTGCCTCTTTCTGCCTCAAGTACAGGAATCCCAGCTGGCGAGCAGTGCTGTGGAGCTAGAGTGATCATGCAGGTTCTCGGGATCTGAACCTCCCTCAGGACCTGGTGGCTCTGCAGAGAGCTGCAAAGGCGAACAGGCAGGGATGGAAGGGCTAGAAGGGATTCAAAATGGGAGGGATGCAGGATGCTAACTTCACTGCTGGAAAACATGGTCCCTTCTCTGGGTCTAGGTACAGCCAGAAGTATTCCTTCTGATTTCATGCCATACCTGCAGATTTTCCCTGAGGCAGGAGCACAACAAAGGGCAACCAGATCAAGATGACCCACGCTCACTTTGGGGAGATGTAGAAAGTAATATTCATCTGGGGCTGACCACCCCAGTCAGTCTCCAGCACCTTGATGTGACTGCCGGAGAGCACAGGGAGATTTCAGCAGCACCAGTGCCTTGGTCCCACTACATTGAGGAGCTGGGATGCCAATAAAATCCCGTTCCAAAAAGGATCTGAGATACTTTGACAGGGAAGAAGGACGCTTCAGGCTGTGCGTGTTGAAACCTATCGCTTATTTACAATCTTTGCCATTAGCCTATCTTTGCAGGTAAGCTTCTGGGATCCCAGCTCAGCCAAAAAGTTGCCCATTCCAAGCCTTTCAACACTACTTGGTGGCTACGGGTCTTCAGGCTAAAGGCTGCTCTCTAGTCAAGGCACTGTGGAGAAGCACGGCTCAATTCCTGCCAGTAAAGCAGAGACAAAACCCATCAGTCCACCCTGGCAGCTCCTGGCCACCTGGGGCAGGGAGTATTCTTTAACACAGCTCCAGAGCAAGCCAAAAGTTTCACAGACACTGGGTCTAGGCGAAGGACAGCACTGAAGCTGATCTGTGCAGGCACTTGTCAGGCTGTCAGTGTTTTGGGAGCAGTCCTCTCCTAACACAGTCATGTTGAATTTCTCTGTAGGTGTAAAGTCTCCCGGTCTGGGTATCTGCGAGTGGCTGCTGACCATCTTGTCTTTCCTGTTCGTCATAATGACCTTCCCCATTTCTGTCTGGTTCTGCATGAAGGTGAGAATAGTCACGGGGCCTTGCTAGGTTTGATATT